TTAGTCGGGAATAAATCCATGTAAATTTAAGAGCTTCTATAAATCATGAATTTATATCCCTGAGGTATTATTGATGGTGTAGGTCGAAGTCAATCGTTCCACATGGGTTTTCGGTGGCATATCCCAAGTAGGCTGATAAAGAGGTTAAGATAAATAGAGGACCAGAAGCGAAGCAGACAATGTTTATGCCTATTTGAACACAGAGTTTGTCCATTGATGTGATACATTAAGAATCAGTGAAAGACACTTTATACGTTAAGCGGAAGAATGTTGTCTGATTTGATCTCCGAAACTGTGCTTCATTCAATTTGTTTTGAAACAGAATATTTGCATTTTTTGTCGCTATATTTCCTCAAAATATTGATTGTGCCTGTGCTTACCGTTATTTTAGTGGTAAATGAATCCTATATATAAAACATTCCGTGAACTTGGGTTAAGCGATCCCTCGTACATCAATAAGCTCACATACATCGACTAGCCTCTTCTTTTCCGATTTCTGGTTTGACTGGGTTGTCATACTTTGATTATAAAAGTACCACTGCTTGAAGTGTTATCAAACTTCGAATACTTGTGGCATTTTTAGTCTTGAGCCTGATGTCACCTGGTAGAACTATTTTTAACTGTAAATCTGTTCCCTGTTGGAACCTTTTTTTATCATTTTTCTACTTCAGTTTTTCCATATTGTGGTATTTTATGCCATTTTGAATGCTTTGTTTTGTTTACTGCTATGCTGCTATACTCCCAAACTATTTAAGATCAAGACTCTTTCACACCCTCATTTTGGATAATGCCATTCTAGCCCGACAGCATAGTAGTCCGATTCTATAACGAAGAAGCTGACTTCAACAAGCACGACGTGAAAGACTTACGTACACAATTCCTTACAGGTGCGTTACACGCAGTATGTTTACTAGTAATGTTTCAAAAACTTACGAAACTCCGAAAAGAGATATTCTTAAGCTTGGAGATATAAACATTTGAAAAAAGTTGGACCGACGTTTCCACGACATTAAGCCGCAACATAGTTCAGAAACAGAAATGTTGCTGCGAATGCGAGAGGTCATAAGTCAACGAACACTTAGCGAGGACCTGTTCAGACAGCACTTCTTGTCTACGCATCCTCAACAGGTGGGGGCAGTGCTTGTCACATTTCGAAACAACACTGTGGACGAACTGGCTGCATCTGCCGAGGTTTATTTAGTCAAAGAAAAGTCTCAAACGACACGAAATGGCGTCACAGACCTCTGTCATACTCCGACACATTATCTTAATATTCATCATGACCGTATACGCTCCTAAATTCCTCAAAAGGATTCTTCACGAAAACGATCTGTCTGTCAACCACGGGAGGCAGATAAGCCTGACTGGTGCTAGCACTATAGTAAGTATGGAAAGCTTCAAAATTGCAGGCAAAAATGTAGTTTCCACGAGTTTTTACCTTGTGACACAAGTGAGGACCTTTGAGGTGCTTCCACAGGATCACTTAAGGCGCCAAAATCATAAAAATCTTTACGTTGGTGTCAGTATGGTTAAATGTAAGATGAAGGAGCTCAAAATCTATGTCCGGTCCGATATGATGATCATGACCATCGCTGCAATTGTAGTTGCCCTCGATTCCATGGGAAGTAAAGTAAACATGCAGGGTATGAGACTACTCTTATGTATTAAGGGAGATAAACCAGAAGGTTAGTGGACCACTTACATCACGAGAAACCTCAACAACTCGGTTTTGCCCTAATCCGTACTTGCCGAACTGACAACTCTTCGGTGAGAACGATACAAAATTTTCGATCGGACGAATGTATGGTACTTCCACAGGCTGCGAGACAATAACAACTGGTACTGCGGGTACTATCGATCCTGAGATGTGACAAGGCAGATCCGGATGATAGCTTTGACACCCATTAACGTAATCTTAGGAAGAAAGATGCAGCATCCGTCTGATGGCCGAACAACAAAATGGCAGCTGGAGCCAGTAGTGCAGAGCTGATAAGCTTTCAGTCAAAAAAATTTATATTCATGCACAGTATGAGTAGCAACGATTGCACTGCAATCATATTTAGCAGAGTTCCCGTTGAAAAATCCAGGAAAATAATTAATCAACGCATAAAATACAGTTGGTCTAAATATATGGCTATAAGGCGTTGTCTTCAAGATGCTCCATGCCCCCGGAGTGCTAGAAGGTAGTAAATGGCATTACTGAAAGAGCCGACTTGGAGAATATGTTAAGATTATATTTGTTGGCGGTTCCGAAAAAACTCCTCGAAAAAGCCGTGAAAGGCTCTGAAATCCCTGAGAAGCATCTTATCCAAACACCATTCACTGGAACTTTTGCCAGAAACATCTAGAAAGTGAAAAGTCACATGTTGGGTTTCCGATCGGATGATTACCTATTCTTCTACTATGTTGATTAGCGTTCTAAAATTATCTGGAAAGAAAAAGCTATATAGAATGTTACAAAAGCCCAATATTTTCTGTGCATAAACGAACCTTGAAGTAAAGCGTTCTTTCCACATTTCGCATCTTTTTTATCGTGTTTAAATCACTGTATAGATTTAGCGTGATGTTATTAGAAGAGCTTAAGAACTGAATCTAACGCTCAATCGAAAAACGTGTCAATACCTAATCTTGTTACATAGTAAATAGAAGGGCTTTTGGGTTGTTGCCATACGGTTGATAACACAACATAAGGAGGAAGTGAAGTGTTCTAAACAAACATTAAGGAAACACAATCATCTGATAATTCAGCAGAGAGAAACAGGAAATGTAATGCCCACTTTGAACAAATAGATGAATATTTCACCCATTATGTTTTATTCCTGATGAATAGCTAGCACTCCCTTCTTAATCACGTAATTTTGGTTGATACAAATACTGCACAGTAATGGTATAATCCAGTTTAGAGAACATCCTGGATAAAGTGAGGCAGAGGACGTTAACTTTATGCAAACAAGGAAACGTGAAACATGAAGCAGGCCTCGATGCTAGGTTTCGACCATAACTTACACTTAGAGCTACAACAAAAGTGAAAAATACGGGCTTGAAAGCGTAGGAGTGATTTTTGAACAATCGCGGTTTAGATTAGAGCAACTATATCAGTTCATGTCATATAGGAAAACATGGTCCAGGAACGTTTGTTGTCACCGGGTCTTAATGTACTACTCCAGATGACCTTGGTGCCACTAACGTCTTTATTGAGCACTTTGACAAAGAACCGAACGAGCACCTTTGAATCGATACCTCAGCGCTGAAGATAGTCGAGAGCGTTGACCAACTAATGCTTAGACCAGTATCAGGAAAGTTGTCAAACTTGGAAACCTGTAAATTGCTGGTTTATGACAATATGAACTCCACAATGCTTAAGGAATTGGTGGATATTCCTTATCACAGACAAATTGATACATTTTTAGCACTCCTTTAAGTCCAAGAAATTGACAAAGAGTGAAGAAAAGCAAACACCCTCCTGATTGCAAAGGAGGGAAATGGCGAATCAGATCTAGTACTGACAGTTGGCTCTGCTGCCAATATCATTGAAGTTACCAGCAAACCAGACAGATGACCAGATGGTGAGGTTCATCAGCAAAATACCCGTCTTAGGAAGCATAGCATGGGATAAGGAAGTTTGGGTACTGTGCTACAAACATGCTGCCATCAGTGGATGGTTGAGCACACTGCTAGGATCGTAAAGCATTCCTATTAGCATTACACCCGAGCCTCCCAGATGTAACTGATATAATTCGGCACATCGTCCGACTAGCTAAGGTCTGCCAAATAGGGATTTTAGATATGCTTTCCTGGCTATTGAATTATCTTCAGGGCCGAGCGTTCTGTACAAATTTAACAGATTGCGTTCGAAGTGGAAAACGTTCACGCCTGGTGTATCAACAGGAGAAATGAAAGGCCATCTACTCTATCTCGTTTGTTAATCAAGAGCCCTTAGTAAACATCAGTCCGTCAATACCTATTTATGTGGACACCAGCTGTGGAGAGTATCAGATCATAGATGTTTACAAGAGCTCTAAAGAAGCTTAGTGTCCCCAGAACAGTACAGGCGTAGTAGTATTTCGATATTTAACCTCTATAAATGCAGATGAATAGTATTTAAAACGATATAAGAATAAGCAGAATACTTACTCTGTGGTCATCGCTTCAATAAAATCCCAACGGAGAATGACCTACGTATGTTACTGTCAGAGGGCATAGACAGCAGTGATAAATTCTATGAAGGCTCAGACGAACTATAAGTTGGTTTTCGCTTGGATGAGTCGTACTTCACATCTCATATGACAACTAGTCAGCTTAAACTATATGAGCTTAAGAATATCAACCAGCATTCATATACAACTTCACATTATTTCATCCTCAATAGGCTTGTGATGGGCGTCGAGTCATAGTCATTAACCAACCCTATCCGTTTCTCTTCTTGTCAGCTTTGCTTATCGGATAATCTTATACTAATGCCTGTTTATGAAGTTTGCTTGAATAAATCCCAGTCAACCAACAAAGGGGAAATAAAGGCGAAAAAAGGGGAAATTTAGGGGAAAACGCGCCAAAATGTCGCCTTTTTCGCCTGTCTTGGGGAAATAACGCGGATTTCCCCCTTTTTGTCGCCTTGTCGCTAAATTGTCTACTTTTCGCCTAAATATCCGCCGAATTGTCTACTTTTCGCCTAAATATCCGCCGAATTGTCTACTTTTCGCCTAAATATCCGCAGAATTGTCTACTTTTCGCCTAAATTTCCGCCGAATTGTCTACTTTTCGCCTAAATATCCGCCGAATTGTCTACTTTTCGCCTAAATATCCGCCAAATTGTCTATTTTTCGCCTAAATATCCGCCTAATTGTCTACTTTACGCCTCAAAATAAATTCACACAAAATTGCGCGTTTTTTATCCAACCTTAAAATCACCATTGGCACTACCCAAAAGTTCTCCAAAATTCGCCTTTACTTCTACAACAAACCACAGCGAAAGTGCAATGGATGGGAAAAGCGCTATATATGTTTATATATTTTTATTTCAAAGGAAAAGCGTTTTGTTTTACAACATAATAGCGGAAGCTTGAGCATCAGTCATTTAGCATTTCATTTGTAATTCCAAATTCGTCGTGCTTTGAGATCTGCAACAGAAGAAACATGTGATGTCTTATTTATAACACATGTGCATTTAATCGAAAGTTCACTGACAATGAGTAAGAATTCAAGATCTCTAAAGAAAATATGTTTATTAAAAATTAGGTACAACATCAAACAAAGTTACACCGACTACATTCTTCAGCAACGTTTGTTCGGCTATTGACAGTCAAAACAGTCGTCCTGTGAATTCTGAATAGTAAAAAAATGAAAAGTCAAAACGAATTCTGAAAAACATGGCCGAAGACACAGAAAAGTACTTTAAGCTAAACTTACGGTTATGTTCGTTAAGACTGTTGACTGCAACTATAAATAAGTAGGGAAATTATCACTTTAAATTAGTACATACCTGCTCTTGCTTCCGTCGATTACGCTTCATCAACTTGTCTCTGACGTCATGGAAATAACCTTGTGTCGCGATGTCGTAAAGCTTCGCAAGATCTTTTTCATTAACGGAGGATGACAAGAAGCGATTTGTCAATGCACCTGAAGTTTAATTTATAAGTATAGGTTACTTCGTATGCAGCCATAAAACCGACATTTCTGAAGTGCGCGCTTTGAAGAAGTGCCCAGCAATGTGAAATTACTGGCCACCTCAGGTGTCATGATGTACGACAAAACGTAACGCATTGACATTTTAGGGTCATCACCCATTAACCTCGTCAGCATCGCCATCTGTTATACAAAGATGTCAGTAAATTAATGTTGCTGACTTACAAATCTGTCCCTCGTTTCCTTCTGCTGCAACCCAGTGTCCAGCATCTGCAGTTCCTCTTCCGATGACAAAGGAAACTGCTGACTTGATACTCCGCAATCGAATTGATGCGGATGATCATGTTCACTAAACTTCGCTAGTAGTACCTTGACATTTGTACTCAAGTCAGTAATTGCTGAAGACATGTTTTGTATTGTCTTACTCAAATCAGCAATAGCTGACGACATGTTCTTCAAGGTTGTGTGCAACCTATCAAATCTTAAAAACGTCAATTGATGGTACAGGTGACTTACTGGCCCGCTGAAGCACAGTCTACATGCTTAGATTCCACTGTTGATGGTGATGTTTCTAATTGTGTAGAACTACTTCATTAACATTTACATAGAAATGAAACTTACTTGGCAATTGGCGAGACAACTTTGTCGAACAACCGAAACTTCGGATAATGCACTTGGCTATTTCCAGCCTGCATCTCGGCCACATCCATATCGACTGAATTGTAAAGAAACCCTTCTTTACGCTTCAATGCACCTCTAAGAAAAGTTAGTAATAAAAATGTACAGACCTCTTTGGTTTTTCCGTGTTTAACGGCAATGTGTTCTCATCCGTTGACCTGTTATTGCGATGCTGCTCCAGTATTTGTAGGGACACTAACATGTCCTTGGCAGACTGCAGAGAATCTACAGTAAACTATAGTTTAAATGTATTTTACTCACCAATTTCCTGAATAACTTTGCACTTCAGCAGTGACCAACTGTCATCTGGCTTATCGCAGTTTCGGAGGTGTATGTCCACCAGCTCCGTTGGAAATAGGCAAAGGTCTTTGCCAAAAATCCATTGCCTGGCTGCAATCATAAGTTTTTTTCGGCTAGGAACGTCAACAATGACGTATTGTTTGCTAGCGGGCTAAATATAAAATAATCGTTAATGAAATTGTTGACTACTCCACATCATTATTTTGTCGCTCCTCTGGATTCTAATTGTACAACCTTGATATTACAATAAATTAATTGTCTACACATAATTTGGTAGTTGCTGGTTCCAGTATCTTAAAAATGGTTTTAACCAGATTGTAGACATGCGGACCCCCAAATAACGGTTGACTTCGCTTGTGGTAATGGAGTTGAGTGGACAGACTTTCATTAGAAGCCATCAAAGACCTATAACCGTATCATAGATCTAAAAAGCTAGCCCGAAGATAGCAGCTTAGTTACACCAGCTCGAACAATGATTATAGCTTTATTACTTTTCATAAATATTTTCACAGCCGGTTTTTTCGTTGGCTAAAAGGTTGTTCAAGGTCATTGGTTGTCGTAGGATCACCACGGTACCATTTGAAAATGCACGAATGTTTGAGAGCAAAATGTCATATCATTGGTTGGTGTTTAATGAACGTATTTAAGTGTTTAGGAACCGCGTCCTGTGGAAAAACATCAATTGTTCAATCATTTTGTAGTGGTGGCCGGGACTTCCCAAAGAACTACCTTATGGTAGCTATGATTATTCAAAGTAACATTAAGAACTCCAGTCTAAGACGGTTGAATTCGTTGTTAAAACAATGATAATACCAGGAGTGGATGACAGTATCGTACGGTAAAATGAACAGTAAAGAATTTATTTTCTAGGAATTGTTCTTATATGACATCCCAGGCCAAGAAGTTTTTCAGGATCTCACGAATCATTATGTAGGACATTAATTATTTTTATAAGGGTAGATTAATATGACCAACCTTATCGTTGTTGTTTTTGATGTAACTAACCAGGAAAGTTTCTCCAGTGCAAAGCTTACCTTGACAGAATTACGGAAACCTAATAATATACGTATACCGGGTATGAGTACTTTCTTATCATATACCTGGCTTCTAGTCGTTCTTGTGGGGAATAAAATAGATCTTAAAGCGAAGCATATCAATATTATGGAAGAAGCCCAGGTGTTAGCGGATGATCTACGTATTCCGTATTTCGAAACTTCTGCTGTAAGTCCTTATTTTTCGTTTATATGGCATCTAATGTGCACCATTAGTGGTACATTCTGATTCAGAAAACATCTTTAAAATGTATGTTCCCATATCATGAGTCAGTCGAAGTTTAGGTTTTTCAATACATTTATGACAGAACTGCATCTCAAGTTCACCAATTTACTGTTAGGTATAGGTAAAATTAGTTTTCCTAAAGCACTGAGGAATCGCAAACCTATTTACGGGGTAAGGACAACACTGGAGACAATTTAAAAAACCGCGTATGACTCGCTTTATTTGACACTTAAGTTTATATAAGACACAACCACGTAATTTCATTGGTATTTAGTAACATTTGGATTAGATGATTTCTTAGGGAATTTTGTGTATATACCTATAAAACAATTGGAGGTCTTATTTAGGGATGAATAATTACTTTTTTGTTAATGGTAATCAGTACGCGAACGTATGTCATGAAATTTTATTTTACAATATTTAGGATGCACTAACCTTACCTCCTTCAAGATGTTTCTTGTGTGTAACAATACAATTGTCCCATTTCTATTTTGAATGTCCAAATATTTATAAAATTCCCCATAAATCAGGAGGACTCAGTAGCTAAGTGGATAACGCGATGGCGTTTGAAGCGGACGGTACTGGGTTCGAGCCCCGGAGTGAACATCAACTCTGAGATGCAGGTACATCCAGCTGACGAGTCCCAAATAGGACGAAACGCGCGTCCTGGATTCCACTGCTAGCCACTATCCATCTGCCCCCATATGCCCTGGTATGGCCGAGAGCGGGGAGGGTTCGCCCTCCCTCTCGAAATACTCTCACACGGCCACGCGTATACAGCCCCTGCCAGGGAAGTCCTGCTCACTGCCTTCTCGTGGCGGGGGTGTTGTTTACGAAAATGAGAGGACGAAAAGCGAATGTCCGGCGCTATAACCGGATCCCAATTCAATGGTGCACATGGGCTCCAGTATCCTGCGGGAACAAATGGCGTATGAACCAATCGTTGGTCACCGGCTATCATGGGACTGCATCTCCTCACGATGCTCCACTGCCTTGTGGACTAGACCCTTAGGTCAAAGGCTCGGGGTGTGGCCTCCTAAGAAAACCACCTGCTTCGGTTTGGGCACCCGGGCAGTATCTCAGCCCACGTACTAAAACCATGATGAACTATTTGCTTATGGAAAATATTCCTTTCTATCTGATTAACATTAAAATAACTCGTACTATTATTATTATTATTATTATTATTATTATTATTATTATTATTATTATTATTATTATTACTCTACCACGTCATTTATTCACCCTCTCTTATTCCTACTTTATGTATCCGTTTCGACCTAGACAGCAGCTCACCTACGGTGAAAATTCAGCTTTATCTAAACGTTCTGGAGTCACTGCCTGGTTGAAAATTGTATGTTACCACCGAATATGAGTACTGAAGCAGTTTTTCTGAAACCACGTGCACCGTTCAAACTGGCTGCCTTCAACGTTCGCACACTTATGCAGGTCGGACAACAGATAGGGCTGGCTATGTCTTTGGAAAGTCCTAATATTGAGGTGTGTTGTCTATCCGAGACCCGTATTCAAGACTCTGGTGAAGTACTACAAGTTCGCTCTCCATCTGTCGCTTCAAAAAGCTTGTTTTATGTGCGTTTATCCGGGGACCCTGTGGCATCTTCGTCTGGTCTTGCTGGCGTTGGTGTCGCACTAAGCGCTAGAGCTGAGGCAGCACTAGTCGACTGGATCCCCATTAACAGTCGGTTATGTGCTGTTAGATTAGAAAGTTCCATCAAAGTGAGAAGAAATCGGCGTGAGAAACAATGTCTTTTCGTCATCTCCGCCTATGCCCCGCAAGGAACTCCAACTCTTGAAACGTTACAAATCACCAGGCCCAGACGACTTACCTCCGGCTCTTTTTAAAGATGGTGGTGACTTTCTGACTAAGGGACTGACGACGTTGCTTACAAAGGTCTGGGAACTAGAGTGTGTACCAACGTCATGGAATGAGTCGATAGTTGTCCCTATCTTTAAAAAGGGTTCACGTTGTTCCTGTAACAACTATCGGGGGATAAGTCTACTTCCGATTGCGTCCAAGCTATTGGCTTCCGTCATACTTCGTAGATTGTTCAGAACCCGAGAAAAATTGACTCGCGAAGAGCAGGCTGGGTTTCGTTCTGGTCGAGGATGTATTGATCATGTCTTCACCCTCCGCCAAGTGTTAGAACACCACCATATATATCAAAGGCCAACAATCGTAGTGTTTCTTGATATCAGGGCTGCCTTCGATTCGTTGGACAGAACTGTTCTCTGGGATTGTCTATTGAAGAAGGATGTGCCTGAGAAGTTTATTAACATCCTAAAAGCTTTATACACAAACACCTCAGGCAGAGTGAGGGCATACAACCACCTTTCTCCACTATTCCATTCAAGCAGTGGGGTTAGGCAGGGTTGCTCAATCTCACCATTCCTCTTCAACTTTGCCATCAATGACATTCTGGAAACAGCTCTGACGGATGTAAGTAATGGTGGTGTGGATCTGTTGCCTGGAGAAAGACTTCTCGACCTTGAGTATGCGGATGATATTGTCTTACTGTGCGAGAATGTTCAAGCCATGCAATCCGCACTTAATCAGTTGGCAATCAATGTCCGTAGGTATGGTATGTGCTTCGCACCTTCAAAGTGCAAAGTACTCCTACAAGACTGGCAGGATTCTAATCCTGTACTCACTCTGGACGGTGAGCAGATAGAAGTGGTCGAAAAGTTCGTGTATCTAGGTAGCTGCATAAATGCTGGTGGTGGCGTGAGTGATGAGATCAATGCACGCATAGTGAAAGCCAGAGCGGCTTATGCCAATCTGGGCCACCTTTGGCGCCTTCGTGATGTTAGTCTGGCTGTAAAAGGTCGGATCTACAACGCGACTGTGAGAGCAGTTTTACTCTATGCTTGTGAAACCTGGCCTCTCCGAGTTGAGGATGTTAGACGACTCTCTGTGTTTGATCATCGTTGTCTCCGAAGGATTGCTGGCATCCAGTGGCAACACTATGTCAGTAATGCAGAGGTTCGGCATCGAGTGTTCGGTCACAGAGACGATAATGAAATTGGTGTCACCATCTTGAAACACCGACTTCGATGGCTTGGACATGTTCTACGAATGTCGTCCCAGGGAATTCCACGTCGTGCATTATTTGCCGACTCTGGGACTGGTTGGAAAAAGCGGAGAGGTGGTCAGTATATGACATGGTGTCGTGGTATGAAAGAAAACTGCAAAGGGCTAGCTTCTGTTGGTCCTTCACGACTCCCTGGCTGGGGTCCGAGAGACGGTGTAACGCAGTGGCTAGAGACGTTATCAGATATGGCTCAGAATAGAAGCCAATGGCGATCCTGCTGTAACCTTCTTTTACTTTATTCATAAAAAGTGGTTGTATCTTCCTTAAATGAAAGATTTCTCCTGATTGTACTTTTCCGTTTCCCCCACCATTGTCCTCTCTCTCTTCCTTTTTTTTATAATTCCCCACGTTCATTACTTTTTTTTCTCCTTCTCTTCAAATTATCATTGTTTTGTGTGGCGCATATATATTTGGTGCCCCCTGTACCAATATTTATGTGTTCAAATAAATAAAAAATAAATACCATAAATCAGGCTCTTGCGCTGCTCACAATCTGTTTTCACACAATCCTAATAGCCCTAAATTTTCTCTAGAATCGAGTTCATACTCGGATTCTCCGAAATTTCACAAGCAATCATCCGAATAACGAATTAGTGATCCAAAAACACAAGAAACTCCAGATGTTCGGTATTTACCTTAACGTACTAAGTCGATGATTGTCTTGATCTAGAAGCAATTTTGCAGCCTTCACGGCTTGCACTAGAATGTTTGATTCTTTTAAAATGGGTTACTAACTTCAGTACGTTGTCTCTATAAACAACGATCAAAATTTCATGAATATTTTACAGACATTTCTTCAAGTTTCACTGTAAATCATCATGCATCACTTCGCGCGTTTATTAAACATTATATTTTGTGATAATTGTTTTAAAACTTTCAGAAGGAAGCACATGGTATTGATGTCCCTTTTCTACATCTCATTAAGGAATATTATGAACTGTACAATGATGCAGTCAATGGCTATCAAACTTTATTATGATTACTATATATATATATATCTTCAATTGATGTGACACGTGTTTTTTTTCACGGACGGTTGGGATGTTTGATTCTATGATGATTCTTCAGTGAGAAACAGCTTTGAAACATTTTAGCACTAAACTGCAGTAACCTTTAAGTAAATGAATAGTCTTCGGCTGATAATAATGCCGATGTTAGGTTGTGTCTATTTCCATAATGAAATGTGAACCCTAGTTGTTGCTGAACATTTTATTGTATTAATGATGTTAATTTGATCGTTTTAAATGCTCTGTTCTTTACAAATTAAGCATATTAGAGACAAATGGCGTTACATTCATGTCCTGTATTCAGATAAAAAAGTCGACATTCATGTAGAGTTACAAACTGATAAAATACTGTGTACATATTCATTTTGAGAATAGGACCAGAGAAATTACGCATCACCAGTTATTCAAGCCGAACAATATTGCCAAATTTTTAGATTTACGCCTGAAGTTGCTGACTGGTTGAGTCTTAGTTTCCCGTCTTTTTTAGTTTTAATGAATTTTATACGGAAGATTTTAGATATATATTTCCAGCAGCTGTCATGAAATTTGAAAGTGGGTGTCATGTTTGCATATTGGACCCTCGGTTTATATACAGTATGGATTCATTACCAAATATTTCAAAACCACAGCTAAAATAGATTCAGTATCTATGATTCAATTCGAGAACATACGAATTGATATAATGAGGAAAATTTATAAAGAATTTAGGAACCTAGGATCTGAGAGAAGACAAAGAGTAAATGCACCTTCACCTTTGCGAATGATTCTGGGCCACATCCTCAGCAGACCCCAACTAATTGTACGGTAAATTAATTAGTACAAAATGCCTGTTCGATGCAGCTGGTACATTAGGAAAGAGTCCTAGGTTTATCCATTAACTCAAAAGGTATTTGCAACAATTACAACCGTGTAAACCTGAGGTAAACCACCTTGAATAATTCACTATATATCATCTACGTTTTCGTTATCCTTCGCGTCAGTTCAGAGGGACCATTCTCTAATAATGTTACAACAAATTATGTTCATTGATAGAAGCTGCCAGTAAATACTTGTTTATTAAGAAATCAAAAGGAGGAAAACAATATACATCGAACTTCCTAAAGCTGTTTTTGTTTATAAATCTGGTGATCTATTGACTATTACTGTACAGTTCAGGACATTTTAATCCCAGTCCCTGCCCCTCACATTAGTCTAGCAAAAGAGAAGCTGAAGATAAACGAAGAATAACATCAAATACAGTTGAATGCTAGGAGAAAAGTAACTTAACGGAACAATAAGATAGAAGAATAAAATGATATGAAATTTGAAAGTGGGTGTCATGTTTGCATATTGGACCCTCGGTTTATATACAGTATGGATTCATTACCAAATATTTCAAAACCACAGCTAAAATAGATTCAGTATCTATGATTCAATTCGAGAACATACGAATTGATATAATGAGGAAAATTTATAAAGAATTTAGGAACCTAGGATCTGAGAGAAGACAAAGAGTAAATGCACCTTCACCTTTGCGAATGATTCTGGGCCACATCCTTCAAAATATTTAACCATCGGTTGTGATGACTCAGCAGACCCCAACTAATTGTACGGTAAATTAATTAGTACAAAATGCCTGTTCGATGCAGCTGGTACATTAGGAAAGAGTCCTAGGTTTATCCATTAACTCAAAAGGTATTTGCAACAATTACAACCGTGTAAACCTGAGGTAAACCACCTTGAATAATTCACTATATATCATCTACGTTTTCGTTATCCTTCGCGTCAGTTCAGAGGGACCATTCTCTAATAATGTTACAACAAATTATGTTCATTGATAGAAGCTGCCAGTAAATACTTGTTTATTAAGAAATCAAAAGGAGGAAAACAATATACATCGAACTTCCTAAAGCTGTTTTTGTTTATAAATCTGGTGATCTATTGACTATTACTGTACAGTTCAGGACATTTTAATCCCAGTCCCTGCCCCTCACATTAGTCTAGCAAAAGAGAAGCTGAAGATAAACGAAGAATAACATCAAATACAGTTGAATGCTAGGAGAAAAGTAACTTAACGGAACAATAAGATAGAAGAATAAAATGATATGAAATTTGAAAGTGGGTGTCATGTTTGCATATTGGACCCTCGGTTTATATACAGTATGGATTCATTACCAAATATTTCAAAACCACAGCTAAAATAGATTCAGTATCTATGATTCAATTCGAGAACATACGAATTGATATAATGAGGAAAATTTATAAAGAATTTAGGAACCTAGGATCTGAGAGAAGACAAAGAGTAAATGCACCTTCACCTTTGCGAATGATTCTGGGCCACATCCTTCAAAATATTTAACCATCGGTTGTGATGACTCAGCAGACCCCAACTAATTGTACGGTAAATTAATTAGTACAAAATGCCTGTTCGATGCAGCTGGTACATTAGGAAAGAGTCCTAGGTTTATCCATTAACTCAAAAGGTATTTGCAACAATTACAACCGTGTAAACCTGAGGTAAACCACCTTGAATAATTCACTATATATCATCTACGTTTTCGTTATCCTTCGCGTCAGTTCAGAGGGACCATTCTCTAATAATGTTACAACAAATTATGTTCATTGATAGAAGCTGCCAGTAAATACTTGTTTATTAAGAAATCAAAAGGAGGAAAACAATATACATCGAACTTCCTAAAGCTGTTTTTGTTTATAAATCTGGTGATCTATTGACTATTACTGTACAGTTCAGGACATTTTAATCCCAGTCCCTGCCCCTCACATTAGTCTAGCAAAAGAGAAGCTGAAGATAAACGAAGAATAACATCAAATACAGTTGAATGCTAGGAGAAAAGTAACTTAACGGAACAATAAGATAGAAGAATAAAATGATATGAAATTTGAAAGTGGGTGTCATGTTTGCATATTGGACCCTCGGTTTATATACAGTATGGATTCATTACCAAATATTTCAAAACCACAGCTAAAATAGATTCAGTATCTATGATTCAATTCGAGAACATACGAATTGATATAATGAGGAAAATTTATAAAGAATTTAGGAACCTAGGATCTGAGAGAAGACAAAGAGTAAATGCACCTTCACCTTTGCGAATGATTCTGGGCCACATCCTTCAAAATATTTAACCATCGGTTGTGATGACTCAGCAGACCCCAACTAATTGTACGGTAAATTAATTAGTACAAAATGCCTGTTCGATGCAGCTGGTACATTAGGAAAGAGTCCTAGGTTTATCCATTAACTCAAAAGGTATTTGCAACAATTACAACCGTGTAAACCTGAGGTAAACCACCTTGAATAATTCACTATATATCATCTACGTTTTCGTTATCCTTCGCGTCAGTTCAGAGGGACCATTCTCTAATAATGTTACAACAAATTATGTTCATTGATAGAAGCTGCCAGTAAATACTTGTTTATTAAGAAATCAAAAGGAGGAAAACAATATACATCGAACTTCCTAAAGCTGTTTTTGTTTATAAATCTGGTGATCTATTGACTATTACTGTACAGTTCAGGACATTTTAATCCCAGTCCCTGCCCCTCACATTAGTCTAGCAAAAGAGAAGCTGAAGATAAACGAAGAATAACATCAAATACAGTTGAATGCTAGGAGAAAAGTAACTTAACGGAACAATAAGATAGAAGAATAAAATGATATGAAATTTGAAAGTGGGTGTCATGTTTGCATATTGGACCCTCGGTTTATATACAGTATGGATTCATTACCAAATATTTCAAAACCACAGCTAAAATAGATTCAGTATCTATGATTCAATTCGAGAACATACGAATTGATATAATGAGGAAAATTTATAAAGAATTTAGGAACCTAGGATCTGAGAGAAGACAAAGAGTAAATGCACCTTCACCTTTGCGAATGATTCTGGGCCACATCCTTCAAAATATTTAACCATCGGTTATGATGACTCAGCAGACCCCAACTAATTGTACGGTAAATTAATTAGTACAAAATGCCTGTTCGATGCAGCTGGTACATTAGGAAAGAGTCCTAGGTTTATCCATTAACTCAAAAGGTATTTGCAACAATTACAACCGTGTAAACCTGAGGTAAACCACCTTGAATAATTCACTATATATCATCTACGTTTTCGTTATCCTTCGCGTCAGTTCAGAGGGACCATTCTCTAATAATGTTACAACAAATTATGTTCATTGATAGAAGCTGCCAGTAAATACTTGTTTATTAAGAAATCAAAAGGAGGAAAACAATATACATCGAACTTCCTAAAGCTGTTTTTGTTTATAAATCTGGTGATCTATTGACTATTACTGTACAGTTCAGGACATTTTAATCCCAGTCCCTGCCCCTCACATTAGTCTAGCAAAAGAGAAGCTGAAGATAAACGAAGAATAACATCAAATACAGTTGAATGCTAGGAGAAAAGTAACTTAACGGAACAATAAGATAGAAGAATAAAATGATATGAAATTTGAAAGTGGGTGTCATGTTTGCATATTGGACCCTCGGTTTATATACAGTATGGATTCATTACCAAATATTTCAAAACCACAGCTAAAATAGATTCAGTATCTATGATTCAATTCGAGAACATACGAATTGATATAATGAGGAAAATTTATAAAGAATTTAGGAACCTAGGATCTGAGAGAAGACAAAGAGTAAATGCACCTTCACCTTTGCGAATGATTCTGGGCCACATCCTTCAAAATATTTAACCATCGGTTGTGATGACTCAGCAGACCCCAACTAATTGTACGGTAAATTAATTAGTACAAAATGCCTGTTCGATGCAGCTGGTACATTAGGAAAGAGTCCTAGGTTTATCCATTAACTCAAAAGGTATTTGCAACAATTACAACCGTGTAAACCTGAGGTAAACCACCTTGAATAATTCACTATATATCATCTACGTTTTCGTTATCCTTCGCGTCAGTTCAGAGGGACCATTCTCTAATAATGTTACAACAAATTATGTTCATTGATAG